CAATTCACCATCTTCTTCAGGTGGGTTCCGTCAGTTTTCTTCAAAAAGGACTTTGTAGAGAGGACATGTGTGCTCAACATTATGTTGTTCGGTGGAATTATGGATACTATATGTGCAAGACATGTTATGTTGTTTGCCCCCCAAGATTTTGTTTTCAGACTGTAGGGTGGCTGTTGTCTTGTTGAGAACATTCACTGTCAGATCAGGTCGGGCCCAGCCACAGTGAAATTATGAATCACCCCTATTCGTTATGCCCTTTTTGGCACCAACAAAGCGTTTTGGAGATTTCAGCCGGGAAATTTTTTTATCGGTTCGTATGTCCTGTCTTTATTTTGCTTTGTACTTGCTGACAATTTTCTTCCTTGTGTAACAGGTGGCTGCAATGAAGAGATCCTAATCTTTTCATTTCAAATTTTAACTTAGACAGCCTTTTGTCTCCCCCACTCTTAGTTGCTATTACTTCCATTCTAAATAAAGATTTCAGTCCTTTGTTTGTTTAGGTGCTGATATGTTGGTGATTACTAAGTAGATAATATGATGGATTGGGTAGTGTTTGACAAGCGAGTATATTATGCGTGCAGGTCAGCAACCACAAAATCCGTTGCTGTTACTCGGGCAATATAGTGATGATGAGTTGGATGATGACTCAAATCAAGTACTTAGCAATGCTGCTGTAGGAAATTCCTCACCTGAGAATAATGATGAGGTAATTAAATGGATTTCTCTACTTTCTTCCATGTCCCGTGTCCTTTCCAATCTGGAGCTTAGTTTGTTGAGTAGCTTAGTGAGTTGGGCTTTATTATGACTCTCTCTCTCTCTCTCTCTCTCTCTCTCGCTCGCTGATGTACTAATTGGGGCATGTCTTTAAGTAAAGCTAGGGACTAAAATTTAAGTTCTCTTTACCTCTCAGACCTTTCATTTTGTATTTACTTCACATGCTCAATGATTTGCCTCTTTCAGGATAAGAGTTCACTTGGTGAATCTTATCAGCATATGGATACCAATGCTAACGAAGACCTTGCTTCTCAGAAGGTTAAGCAACAGGGAGGGGATACAAACTCTGCCATGAATGATTGTGACCAGAGCATGGAGGACAGTGATAAAAGAGAAAATGATGATGTGGCCTCTAGTGATTTACGCACAGAATTGTATTTGACAGATCAAGCCTCTGTTCCCGAAACTTCTAGTGTACAAGTCATTGGAGATGTCAGTTCAGGCTGGAAGATTGTGATGCATGAAGAGAGTAATAGCTATTATTACTGGAATACTGAAACAGGGGAAACTTCATGGGAAGTACCTGATGTTTTGACCCAGGAAACCAAGTTAACGAGTGACCAGAAAACACCTACTAAGTTGGAGAACGTTCCTGTTGGTACAGAAGAGTCTAACTTAACTTCTGATGTGAAATTAGATGGTTTTTCTAATTCTGACACAAATGAAGGGGCTGCCAATATGGTTCCTCATGGAACAGAATCGTATGGACATGGGTGTGGGTCCCAAATGGATGAGTGGAATCTAGCATGCAATAATCAAGCTACTCATGATACAATGGCTAATGAAGATCATGAATCAGGGATTGATCTCTCCTCTCGTCTTGTCAAACATTGTGAGGCTTTGTTAGAAAGATTGAAGTCATTACAAGGGTATGGCATGTTTTGCTCTCAGCTCCCAATTTTTTAAAATTTATTTAAATGCCCACTTGGTTTTTTGTTTTGCTTTTGGAGATTTATAATAACTTAATTTATATGTCTCAGGTCCAAGGAACAATTGCAAGATCTCAACTGGATCTCAAAGTATACTTTGGAAGTTGAGATAAGACTCTTTGATTTTCAGTCCCTTTTATCTTATGGGTCATCCTTGCTTCCATTTTGGATGCATTCTGAAAGACAGCTTAAACGGGTTGAGAGTGCTATAAATGATGAAATGTCCAAAATTTCTAAATCTGTACAAACAGATGAAGTTGAGGCAGCTCATGCATCTTTCTCCCAGGGAGAAACAAATTTTCAGGAAAGCGTGGGATGTAAAACTGAAGCAGATCAAGTTGAAACACTGGATGATTTTCATGCTACTCCTAGTGTTGATACATTAGCAATATTCTCTAAAGAAAGTTCAGGTGTAAATGCCGAGCATGTTTCTGAATTTGTCTCGCCTACTAGGCATATGGAGAGCGGTGTAAGTGAAAAAGTCAATGGGGCGGCAGTTCCCATTGAGTCAACTACCAAGAATGATTTTTGTGCTGGGGAGGAGGTTGACATGGATGTGGACATGGAAGTTGAAGATTCAAATTCTGCAGGAAATACGGCTATTGCATATGCATTGAATGCCACGGAATTTGCTCCGTCAGAGCAGCCAATTAATCCTAGCCCACCTTCAGTATACACATCTTCAGTGCCAGAGGATACATTCACTATTCCACCTCCCCCAGATGAGGAATGGATTCCTCCACCACCACCTGATAATGAGCAGGTTCCTCCACCCCCACCTGATGAGCCACCACCTCAGCCCCCGCATCCTCCTTTGTCATCTTACCCTGAGACAGGGCAAGCTCCTTATCCAGAGCAATACAATTTTTCCTATCCAAGTTCCAGTTTTGAATATTATGGGCATACAGTTACTGAAGGCCCTAGCAGTACTTTTTATGGACATCCTGAAGGATGCCAAGTTTCTATGTCCCATGCACCACTTTACTATGCTGCAGTTCCTGGCACCTATACTGAAACTTCTCAGGCTGCAGCTAACCCTGTTGAGTCTGTCACATATTATGGGCTTCAAGATGGAACAGGACTTTCTGTTCCTGTAGTCAATAGTGTAGAGTCTTTACAGTTTCACAGTGAGTCTGCTCCTCTTAGCTATGAAAACCTTGCATCCGATCGTACTGGGTCTATCAACTCCTTTGCAGGAGCAGGCAGTAGTGGTTCATTGCCAAATGTGAATATTGATAGTTCTGCTGTTGATAGTGAGACTGGTGGGGCATCTATGGAGGTTCCTTCTACCACATCTACAATCCAAGCACCTGCAACCATTTCAGTGAAAAGTAATGTTCCTGTGCCATCAACTAATCATGCCCCTAGTGCTGCATCTATTCCTGCCACATCGGAGGTTACTAAGGCCCAGTCTAAGGGTAAAGCTTTTAAACACCTAATAAGATGGGAATAACGTGCTTTTCACGACATTTTTTATGTCATCCTACTTCTTGTTAATGTTCTTGATGGAGTTAAGCTGTGACTAGTTATAATTGGTTAGACAACCCATTGTGCAAATGATGTGTGAAAGAGAGTTCTCTCTCTCTCTCTCTCTCTCTCCCTTTTTTGGGCTCTCTACCATATATAATAAGTTAATAACATATATGGAAAGCAAGAAGCCAACAAGTGTTCTTTTTTAGTTAAACCACGTGGTTTAAAACCTTTATTCTAGTGACATGCATAATTACAGGCGTACTCATCATTTTCTTTTCTCTTATTCAGTTCCACGTACTAAAAAGCGAACGGTTGCAGTTGCTTCCTCCTTGAGGTCTAATAAGAAAGTCTCCAGTTTGGTAGACAAGGTATGTTTTTTGTGTCTGATTTTTTACATTGCTACTTGCATCAGTATAATTATGGATCACCTAATTTTAATTTCAAATCAACCAGTGGAAAGCAGCAAAAGAGGAGTTGCTTGAAGATGAGGAGGAACCTCAAAATGCATATGAGTTGTTTGAGAGGAAGCGACAAAGGGGAATAGAGGTTTGCTGGACTTTATTTGTACAAGTTATTGTGTCTTGGCTCCTTCTGGTTTCTTACGTTCCTTTTGTTGCAGGAATGGTATGCACAACAAATTACCAGCGGAGAGGCCAAAGATAATGCCAATTTTCAGCCTCTGGGTGGCGATTGGTATGATGACTTAAAATCTTACACTTAACACATTCTTGAAAGAAATTCTAAAGTTGCTGAGCTGGTAGGGACAGTTTAATATTTTACTCTTAAAGTCCAAAGTTTTCTGATATATTTATTATTTTTTTGGGTGACTTGGTCACTGTCTCCAAGTTTTCAACTTGTTAAATACAAGTTTGATATCATATGAACTTTCTTGTGATGTGATTGCTATGTTTTATACAGGCGTGAGAAGGTGAAGCGAAGAAAAGCTCAATTAGCCCGCAAAGCTGGACAAACCACATCAACACCTGGACCTGAGGCACCTATGGATGGGAACCAGAAGCCTGATCTGGCAGAACTCTCAAGGGGTCTCCCCTCTGGTTGGCAGGTATATGTTCAGGGGGCACATTATTTACTGGCCAGGAATTCTACTCTTTAATAGGCAGGATTTCTGCTTTAAACAAGTGTTGCTTTTCAACATTTATGTTATGTTACTCCTGGAGTGAGAAGGAATCGAGACACATTTTAAAAAAATCTTTTATGGGAAAATTCTGCATGTGCTCGAGTTGGATTTGTTTGAGTCTTTTCCGTGCTTGCTAGAGCGTATGCTTATTGTCAAAGCCATTAAACGCTCTTCAAAGCTTGTGATCTTGTTCTGCAAAATCTGATTTTTTTATTTTTTGTTAATATTTTTTTTCAGGCCTGCTGGGATGAATCCTCAAAGCAGGTTTATTATGGAAATACGGCGACCTCAGAAACTACATGGACTAAACCAACAAAATGAAGTCTTCAAATTTTCATTTTAGTTATTTGGTTGACTTGTATACTATCCAGGTTGAATTAGGAATGTAAGAGGGCCTGCCATCTTTATAGAGAGATCCTCAGCTACAATAAGAAATTTTGGGATAGTTATTGGTGTCGATTTTATCTTGGTTAGATTGTTTTCGGGGGAAGTTCCTTTGATGCATCCTTGTGAGAATCATTTAACTCTCCAAAAGAAGAAGGAAAAAATCATTTACTTCTTTAAAAGGCCACTTTGCCTGTTCTTTAACCAAGTACTTGAAGTTTATAGCAAGGGGCAATAAAATTATAAATATGAGAAATATATAGAGCTATTGATTGAAATTACACAGCCCAAGAATACCAGCCATGTGTTGATGCCCAAATAGTAGGCAATCGTACATCAAACAGATCTTTTTCCCAGTATAAAACTTAATTATTATTCATTATTCATTATTCATTACCACTGAAAAAATACAATACAAAATCTCCAGATCATGTCCCTCTCTAAACCCTTACATTACCTTCTCCTATTTTCCCGATAAGCACCCTCACTTTCTTTATCCTTTAAAAAGCTCAGGAAAAGAAGAAAGCCAAAAAAGGCAAATCCTCCAGACCAGTTGCCCCCACCACCACCTCCGCCGCCACCACCATCACCATCATCACCAGGAGGGAATCCACTTCCACCATCATCAAGCAGTGGGGACTTTTCCTTGCCTGTAATTTCATTCAACTGTTAGGATTTCTCACATTACTTCAGAGTTTAAAGAAGTAAAACAGAAGATGCCAACCAACATGCTCATCTCCAAGTAAATTCCAATTTTTTTTTTTTAATAGAACCAAGTAGATTCCAAAATAACTCTCGGATTTCAAGACCTTGAGAAAAAAGGGCTATACAAATTAGAGGAACACAAATTACATTGTGTCGAGCAGACACTCATCTCCAAACTTTCAAAATGTGTTTTTTCACAACACTATATTAGCAATTAATACCAACTAATCACTCTTACCAGGAAGATGTGTAATTGTTGGAGCCTCACGGGTGACAGTCTGGGTTTGCTCTGCACCGCATCTGGCATTCTGCACAATAGAAGAGCAAAATCAACAGATTTCTTACACTTCTGTTCCTTGATAGAGGAACTTAGGGATCAATTTAGAAGAAAACATAAACAATAACAAATAACAAATGCTAGAACAAAATGTAGACTTGAATTCGCCAAATGAGCATCTGTGGAATTTGAAAACACTGGCAGACTTACACACACACACAAGAAAAAACTTAACCAGGTATCAATTGACTGATTCCAGGCATCTAGAGCCAATAACCAAACTTAAGTGAAAAGAACTTTCAAAAGCCACGCCCATATCTTCTTTTACCAACTTTCATGAAAAGGATGAAATGGGAAATGCATCAGCTTATGCTACAGGATCACCATTCTCACAGTTCATCAATGAATTTAGCAACAAATGATAAAAATTTGCTTAAGACGAACCAAGATCTCAAATTGCTATAGGAGAGTAATCTATAGGATACTGATCCAGCATGCAACAGATCAAAATTATATCACCATGTAAAGACAAGGAAAGCAGGTAAAATGATACAAGATATGAAATAAGAAACTAACCGAAGCAGAAGCACATATTACAGAAGCAGACCGACGGGAACCAATGACTGGTTTTCTTCTCTCAAGAAGTGATAACTGTGCACCAAGCCCCACTGGTTTGATCTTAAAATGTACCATTCTTCCATCACCACAAACCCTTTTTGGCCCACAGCTAGAAAGCTTCACTCGTCCGGGGCATTGACCTACTGTTTTCACCGTACAAAGAAACATCATAACCGTAATAAATGTCATCAAACTGGAAATTCCAACAAACACAGTTATAGAAGAAATTATTTCAAGAGACACTCTAGTTGTGTAAATGTCCCCGGTTATGAGCAAGTAACTACAGTCGATACAAAAAATAACACCGTATTTGCTACAATCTAAATTAGGTGAAAAAGCATATCCTAATTTTGGAACTATTGGCAAACAAATAACAGAATTTATTATCTTAAAAAATCAAAGAAACTTCGCAATGGGTACTCATAAAATACCTGCTGGCAATAGAGGCGAGCTAACAATTGTACTTGCAGCAGTCAACATTGGCATCTTGATGATAAAATCACCTGAAAACACAACCCTTTGCACATTAAGGGCTAGTTTGGCATTGCTGTGCTTTTAAAAAAAACTGCTTCTGCTGTGCTGCGAAAATAATCAGCTGTGAAAAAAAGCAGCTAGGCGTTTGGTAAACTATATTGGAAAAACTGCTGTGAGTAGTCGAAGTGTTTGGTAAAATCTTATCAGAAGTGCTTTTAGTATGTATAATGACCGAAAAGGGCATGATGATGAAATTGTTTGTTTTTTCCTTCATTCTTTTTCTACTTTAAAAAAAAAACTTAGTATGTATAATGACCGAAAAGGGCATGATGATGAAATTGTTTGTTTTTTTCTTCATTCTTTTTCTACTTTAAAAAAAAAACAAACAAACTTCACTACATAATTTTTTTTTCTTTATTTAATTTACACATTGTTTTTATCAAAAATTGTAATCTACAATTAGCACACATATATTACCATAAATTATAAATCAATATTGTAACAAAAGTAGTTATAAATATTGTTATATTAATAATAACAATGTGTTTTGAGGGCTTCGGAGAGGGTTAGCATAACGAATATACAAAACTTGTTCAATTTTAACATGCCCAAATAGATCACTACAATATAAAAGAAGCTAATTAGATGCATTCATTAAACTTGTAGCAATACTATTTCTCAATGCTTCCATCTCTTGTGTTCCATTGTCATGAAGACTAGTTTGGCATAGCAACAACCATGTATGAATATTCATCTATATTATTCATGTAATAACAACAAATAATACTAATTAAAACAAAACATCCCTTAAATTTAGCCTTCAAATATACAAAACTTGTTCAATCTTCTGTTAATTCTTGGGAATTGAGTGGCTTTCCCAAGGCAAATTCTCCACTGGCCACACTCGAAGGGAAAGATGCCAAGATGGACAAATCCACTATATGCTATATGTTTAAAAATGATGATGGCTCCCAAGAAAACTTCCTTAAACCCACTTCTCAATCTCAACAAGGGACAAAGAGTCCAAGCATGGAGTTTTCCTAATGATTCATGAAAGAAAACCAAGAACAAGAAGAATCCACACATGAAAATAAATTGATCACCTTGACAATTGACATAAGAACAAGAACTATATAATTTTCCTAATCTTTAATATATATTACTTGAGGAACTAGCTAGCCTATTATGCCAAGAGGAGACAAAGATGACATAAAAGTCTTAGCCAATATTTCCAGCTTACTAGGGAACATTGTTATTGAATCTCTTAGCCAAAATTTCCAGCTTACCACAATGATCAGCATGCTATAATCACTTTTGATAAAGCCCACCAACACAAAAAAATATAAATAAAAGGAAGAAAATTAAACACTTTTGTTACAATCACTTTTGTTATTTACTTTTATTTACAGTGATTTCGTATGTGAATGAAAATAAGAAAATTAAACAAAATAAAGTCATAGCAATAACGCATACAACAAATTCCACCTCAGATAGACAAAATACACCAATGTATGAGAATATCTCATCCCCTTATTTATACATTAAGGTGGACTTTTCTGTAATTGTCATTAATGATTCTCGTTGCAATGTCACCAGGTGTCAAACCAACATAAAAATGAAGTATCTAATGACTCCGAATAAATGGCCAGAATATGTAGCAAGTTAAATACGCGAATAAATGACTCCGATATGCATAATTACTTATCATGGCAGATAAGGGAATAGCATGACAAACAATTTTAAGGGGCATAGATTCAAGCTCAAGAACAACAAGAAAATAAAAAGTAGTACCTTAGCGGTTCCGTAGTATTGAACTATGTTTTGATGTTCAAACTGACTCAAAAGAGCAATCTCCTGGAAGAGAAAAAAAAAAACCAAACAAGCAAACACTGAATGAGAAGAAAAGGATCTCAGAAACAACAGTAAAGCCAGGCTCCACTCACAAACTATTACTGAATCAATTAGTATAGGCATGCAAAACCAGGACATAGGACCAGACACAACGCAAGCCTCTCACCTGTTCAAGTTGATAAACTCTTTGCACCCCCTGACTTCCTTTATCCAGCAAGGAAACTTCCTTCACAGCAATGAAGCATCCGCAACTGCAGGAAAGAAAACTCATAATCAACAAAGTTGTAAAAAATATCAGAACTGATGGAAAGTTGAAACAAGGTTAGGACAATGGAAAAATCAACACGGGACTTAACTTTTGGGGACTGGGGTTGCAATTATATATATATGTGTGTAAGTATAGGCATGCAAAACCAGGACATAGGACCAGACACAACGCAAGCCTCTCACCTGTTCAAGTTGATAAACTCTTTGCACCTCCTGACTTCCTTTATCCAGCAAGGAAACTTCCTTCACAGCAATGAAGCATCCGCAACTGCAGGAAAGAAAACTCATAATCAACAAAGTTGTAAAAAATATCAGAACTGATGGAAAGTTGAAACAAGGTTAGGACAATGGAAAAATCAACACGGGACTTAACTTTTGGGGACTGGGGTTGCAATTATATATATATGTGTGTATGTGTATATATATAGATGTATGTATATAATGAACCAGATTGGCCTAGCGGGTTTTGTTCTTGAGATTTTGGAACTGTACCAAACTATACAATGAGCTATGAACAATGATGGTTGGGTAATCTAGAGAAAAAAGGCATCTAGGACAGACATGTTTCAGAGAAAGAGAAACAGAGACAGAAGTATCTGACCCAAAGGCCAATTGAAAACCCCAGACCAAGCTAGGGAGAAAACAAAACCTTGTCAAAAAGCAACGAGAGACAAACCCAGTACAAAAAACTCTCTCTCTATCTCTCTGTCTCTCTCCCGTGTCTTCCTCCTAAAGCCCCAAGAACACAAAGCCCCCAATCTCATAGAAACCAAAAAAAACCTAATTTCATTACATATATAAACCCAAAAATCATAAATGTAATGAAAAGATGAACTTACTGATGAGTAGCTGATTGTTGTTAGCAATGAACTTCCTTGATTGAGACTGGAATTTTGAGATAGCGAAGGAAGAAGAAGAAAAGTGAGAAGAGCAGATATATACCTAAATAAAAACACACAGATATATACCTAAATGTAATAAAACACACAGATATATACCTAAATAAAAACACATGCTTATTAATTAAGATTCAATTAAACGCAATTGAAGAAAACTATGAGCAAAATTAACTCAATAAACAGGGAGATATTGGTTTTGAGGGGCCTTATCACATCAGTAAAACTCAACAACTAATAGGCTGTTTTGGGTTTGAACTTCGGCTAAGACTAAGAATTTCAATATGCAAAGTTCATATCTTTCAGGTGGTATTCGTCAGAACCCAATCTCCTTACCCGAGAAAGACTCCTCCTTTGAACCTCAGCAGCTACAGAAAAGCCTGAACCAGCGAACCTTTCGGAGTTTATGGTGGTTGTGCACAAAGCCGAACCCTAATCTTCTGTAAGTCCAAAATTGAAGGAGATTTTGATGTTGTTGTGGGGATGGAGGAGGTGTGGAGGGGTTGGGTTGATTTCGCTGTGAATGCCAATGGAAGGCGGTGAGCAACGCCCGTGTTGGTAACGGTGTCGTTTCGTCACATGCGTTCAATCTTTTTTATATGTTTTGTCTCAAGCATGGCCTCCACAACAAGGGCCTGAGCCCACTTCAATGAACTTCCATGGGCTTCAAATGCACCAAACAATTCATGTGTTTTTTTACCACCCAACATTTCAATTATTACACCCATCTAAAGGAATTTCAATTTTGTCGTAAATAGTGAACAACAATTTTACAAAATTAAAATGAAAAGAACAAGTACACTTCAATCTATTGGAAGAATTCTCTTTGAATATATTCAATTTCTTTCAATTTAGATGGTTTCATGTTTATTTTGTTTCGTAGACATTTGTAAATAAATTAAACTTGTGACAATCACAACATTTTAGTAATGGGTTAGAATAGACAAGAAGAAGACCTATTGAGTTAAGGGAAAACAAGACGAGGGGGTAACTCCCCGTCCCGTCGATGATGAGAAAGGAAATTCATTTCATCTCCTTCTTTTTAGAAAGTTAGATACAAAATTGGTAATAAGAAACTTGTGTGAATGTGATGATAAAAAATTGCATGCAAATAGAATTATCTCTTCTTCTTTTTTTGCTCAAAAAATAGAATAACTCTTGTTTTTGGTGGAAATATAATTACTTGGAAGCTTAAATTTATGTAGTTTTTTATATAAGCACAAAATTAACACAATTTAAAAATCAAACCCGTGGGAAATTAATGTGCTTTTGTAGGAATATAAAACAATTTAGAAGAATCATAAAATAAAATAAATACAATTTAGAATAAGCTTCTTAAAGAGAGCATTGAGAACATATAGAATATCAATTACTAAACCAATAATACTACAACCTCAAAAGTATCTATCAAAATTTTAGATACCAACCAAATGTTGGATATGTTGTATATAATATTATTCTCTCCAAGGAGAGACCAAATACTAACAAATTAATACAACACTTGTCACAATATCAGCTTCAATTTTTTTGTTTTCTGATGATAACCAAAATTCAGGATCTTATTTTGGTGTTGATAGTATTATTCTTATGCTTAAGCAACATGCATGCATGCCAACTATTTCACTCAACATTTTTGTATGAACAAGTTACTGGGCAGGGACTGAATCACTAAGGGGGCTAGACTTGCGAGCCACCAGCTCCGAGAGGTTCGAGCCGACGGAGGCTCCCCGGTTGAGGCCAGAGCCGAAGCTCGAAGTTCTGTGGTGCCTGCAGCGAAAGGAACCAGCATGAGTGGTTGGGGAGCAGAGGCAATTCTTCCACCTTGATTTTGAAGCATCTTGTGATGTTGGTGAAGCAAGCATATGAGAATGCTTCTTGAAATCCTCTATGCTAAATTCTGGTATGGTTAGGTTTTGACCCTTGCACTTGATTCTTGGGGTTCGGGGATTTTGTTCTAAGCAACCAGCCATTTTTGTCTGTCAACTAAAAGAAAAAAGAAAAAAGAAAAATCAAACAATTAACAATGTAATTAACATCTATATATACATGTCACATATGAAAACATTTTCTGTATCTTTTCAGATGATGCAATTGCAAATGTTATTGTTTTATCATTCAATGTGGTTTTCAATCAGAAATATTAATTACAGAAAGAGGAAAGATAAGAGAGGCAGAATAGATAGAATATTGAAATTCTTAGCTTCTCATGAAACCAGAAGATAAGATGGGAATATCAATTAATCAATCCGAAACTTAAATTCACACAAAAGACATGCAATGTCACCTCTTCGTTCAGATGTGGGACTTGGAAATGGCAGAAAATCTTCCCCAATCGCCCGGCAAGATGTTTTCTGGCTTGCAGCAAGGAGAAGGGTGAGATGGTGAAAGAAGGTGTTTCACATTTATCTTTCTACCCTCCCCCTTAACAAAGAGGAAAAAATCTTAATGACAAATGTCAACGAATTTGGCAGCAGTCTTCAAATAGCTGAATTTTTTGTTTCAGTTTCCAACCACCTCTATTTTGCAGTTGCAAATTTGTGGTAACTCCTTGATCTGAAGTTTGTAGCCACTAATTTCCATTTTTTGGTATCTCTTTTTATTTTTGTTCCAAATTAATTATGCCATGAAAACCAACTCATACACGTCCAAGAATAAACAGCTTTCTGAGCGAAAAGTACCATTGGCTAATACACAGTAGAACTCAATATTGTTATTCATAAAAATAGACAATCTCCTTCCATTCTAAAATTAACCCAAATGGTTAGTGATTCTGAATTTTTAATTTGGGAAAAAAGGGAGACTAAAAGAAAATACACACATATTTGGGTGGATTGTTGTGGCCATTGTTTTAGTTAATTGTTCCATGTTATGCAGACTAGTTTTTATTTAGTTCTGTTTTCCTGTCAATGGTGTTTCATTTGTTTGGGATGTTGAGGAGGAATATATGACTGAAACCAGGCATATAGGTTTTGTACTTCATGTATGTTTAGCTCTATGTATCTTAATTTGGATTCTTTCTTATGTGCATAAACGCATGCATGAAAGTGCAGGAAAAAACTTGTACGGAACAATCCTATTGCACCTCCCGTCACATAATTTCTGAAAGAGATGAAGAACTCAGAGAGAGAGAGAGAGAGAGAGAGAGAGAGGTAGTAACCCCGTTACAGGTAAGCCCTATAAGACACAGCGCAATAGGCTCCGCCCATCACAGAAGCTTTGCTTGCCAGTGCAGGGAGCTGCACTAAGACGGGAAAGTAAGTTAATTTTTCTTCGGGGAGGCAGGGTTGTAAATTAGCTGGTTAATGGTGGTTAAAGCTTGGAGTCACAGGAAGTAACTTTACCTGTGGATACAGTAGTGTTGATAACATGGCATGTGCCTAATTGATGCATTTGACATATCAATGCATTATATCACAATGATCTTGGTTGGAGTCACTGGAAATGCTCCAATAGAGCACAGCAGCTTCAAGTCTTTTTGTTTCAATAATGCTAAAGCAATTTTGATTGAGTAATTTCTGGGTGAGCAGTGATCTATAGGCCTTTAATACTTTAAGACCAAAAAGATCAAATCAGTTTTACAACACATTTTAAAATACAATGATAAAATGGTCACCAAAATTTGCAAATAAAATGGTCACCAAAATTTGCAAATTTTGGCCTAATCAATTCAGCAGGTGAGTTTTTTCTTGAGAGAGCCAAAGCAGGAAAACTAAAGGATATATATGGGTTAGAAACACATTTTTCCCTTTTCTTTTATTCTTCTTTCTTTGTCGTCTTTTATTCTGCTTCCTTCGTTTGTTACTTTTGCCTCTTGTATATCTTTGCCAGGAATGATTTCAACACTGCCTGTACCGCTTTACTTGAATGAGATTCAATGGATTTTGTAAGTTTCTGATAACTGCTGCTCTCATACTCCAGAAATACACCCTACAAACCCCAAGTTAGATGCAATGTTAACATTAAATGATTGGTTCCAACTCAAGAAATATGCAAAAGAAGCAAACTCTTGATAAACCTATAGCTCCCAGAAAATGTAAAGCTGAAAGAGTAGACAGGGAGAATAACCTGAATATCAAGGACTTTATATAGCTCTTTTACTTTTTCAATACATGTTTGATCATCTTTCCCGTAGTTCTCCTGGTAACATAACACAAATACAGATAAATGTAGTCAAAAATTATAACACCAGGACATAGTATACGATTTATAGAAATTAAATTTTCTTGCTTACATGTAATAGTTTCTTTTGTTCCTCATTGGAAAGTTCTAAAGCTTTCACAACCAACCAAGAGCACTTGAAGTCTTGAATATCTGTCCCAACCTAATATTTCAGAGGACAAACAGTTAGATCTCTCATAACTCTCTGATGGTAGGGAATTGCATGACCAAAAGCCAAATGAATATAGCTCAACAACATACCTTGCCAATCACTTCGGGATCACCAAAGCAGTCCAAATAATCATCCTACAAAATACATCAGCGTATCATTTAGTTAAACAAAACAAAAAAGGGCAACAGTGGTCATAGATTGATCTTGGAGCTGTAGTTTTGGCATCCCCCCTTTTCTTTTTTTCCCAGTCTTCCTACAGTTTATCAGCTATTATGTTAAATTAACTATTACCTGTACTTGAAAATAGGTTCCCATTTCAATAAGAATATTCTTCACATCAACATGGCTTTCAAGATCTTCGCCTGCCATTAGCAAAGCGCATGCTACCTGAGTGCATACATTGGCCATAAGCAAGATATCTAAAAGAACATTCACTAAATCCAGGCATGAATAAGCATGCTTTTAAATATAAGTAGACATAGCAATTATATAGAAAATCTTAGTTTCATTATTTTATATGGTTTCAGGTGTTTAGGAAGATAAAATGACAAGAATCTAGCAAGACTCTATGAAATGAGTCATTTGTAACTTGGACGAACTGAAACCAACTTCTTTTAGAGAGAACAAAAAGAAAATCAAGAACTCTGCTCTATAGAGGTTATGAACTACTTCAATATATGACCATCAGCAACCAAAAAATTCTTCAAAAGTCGCAGTTCCATTCACATAGAGAAAAAATCCTAGACATGAACAGCCTTACATTACATGCCAATGAAGACAGCAATTTTTCATCCACACAGACAACCATCGGTTGTAAACATCTCTAAAGACAAATTGACCATCAACCTTTTTAGAGGCACTTTGACCATAAAGATGAAAATGAATGCATAGAAAGGAATTTCTACTCACTGGAAGGTAAAATGAGTAATAAGCAGTTTTGTACTGAACGATGCGGCGGTGACTGCATGATTACACAACCATTTTAGATTTAGAAAAAGTAAATAGATTTAATTGAAAATAATTTATATAAGATACAAACCATCTCAATTTTCACTTACAGTGCCAATGAGTACTTAGACAGATCTTTCTCTCCTTCATGAGTGGTAATTAAATCTATCAATTGTCCATGGGCTGTTTGAAATTCCACCTGCATATCAATGTCAATGATTGATGCATGGTTAAAATGAAAAAAACAACTTAGTGGTCCTGGTCTAATGTCTATGTAAAGACATCCCTACCTCATTAAATAAATCTAGCAGATCCACATAGTAGGGCTTTCCCCTAAAGTGCTTTTTGAGAACTCTCGGGATATGGTTGCGCAGTAGTATGCCATCATTCACAGCAATCATGCCAATCTAATATTAACAATAATGGAAATTAGAATGTTCAAAGCAATTAAAAAGAGAACTGTACAAGGAAAAGAATCACTCTTGGTAGAGGCTCACACCTTTGGTAGTCTGAACCAGCAGGGCTGACCCCTACGTGTATGAGAGCTATCCATGATATCATCAAGAACGAGAAAATATGCTTGAAGCTGCAAAAGTCAATGAAAAGAAGAGTCAAATTCCCATTGCAACTAATGCAGAGCAGAATTGCTGAGGTATGATAACCATTGTGATTGATACTAAATGAGAAGAGAAGGGGGAAAGAAAAATGGCAGGAGTTGCTATGTAGACATACCCATTCAATACACCAACCAAGTGCTGATGCATGAAAAATTTCATCATCCGTTAGCTCCCTTCCATCCTTAAGTAACTTTAGGCTGTCAATTACGGATAAACCTCGATTCAGCTTTCCTGCCATGATACAAGTTTGTGAGCAGAAGTTCTATCACAAAGAGCTCAAAGAAAAATAAAAAAAATGTAACATGTCTATACCCCCTGGCACATTGTAGTTCAGCATCTGCAACAAAAGGGACACAAACATTCAATTAGGACGTAGACTTGACTCAAGCTTTACTTAACCCAAGCAATGCAAATATCAGTATGAAATAAGAACTAAAGTGATTAAGAGCAACAGAAAATTTGAGAACAAACTTGTGCCACTGCGTAGTGTAAAGAAAAATACACACCTTGGACTTCAAACACACACACACACACACAAACAGAGATATGCATGTGAGGATCTACAAATGCTAATACGATTGCCCCTTCAGGATGGACAAATCATGCACAAAAGGAGATCTTGCCTATGGTTCAGACATGACTATGGTTGCTATATCTCATCTCACATGTAAGTCAACGTGACGAATCTACAAGGTACAGCGTGTCATGTTACACCTTAAAGAAAACCTGGAGCATCTCCCATTGTACCCTCTTCAATGTTTGGACTAAATGTCGACTCAGCACATCGATTCATTTTAACATTTGCATTAATATAATCTTTTGATAATTATGTATTACATCTTAATTGTATATTTGTCAATCTCTAATCAGAAGTAACTGGTATAACTTTTCTCCTCTTTTTAATTTTCCCTTTTTATTTTGGCGATTGGTATTCTCAATAAGATATAAGACTGCAAGGTTTCTTGCTCTGAATCTGAACTAAATCATGGTAATTGCGTGTCTTGAGTATTATGGGATCGGGTGTTTCATGTGGAACAAAAAAGCCAAACAAACAATGGCAGCAAGCAATGTTGTCTTACTCTGACCAAGAAGAAAAGCTTTCAAGCCACTCCCAATACCAACATTCTTATAAAATTTGAACTGAATCTCAACAAGCTATGTCTAACAAAAGTATCCCATCAAAGTTTTAAGCCAAAAAATAAATTTTGCCCGATTCAATTAATTTTCTTTCACCAAAGTGAAAGATTCCTTCCAAAACCCAAGTAACACCCTATTACATTAAAAAAAAACCAACAAAAAGGGAAATCTACAAAACTTAACTGAATGTAACAGAGCATTGAAAATATATAATAAAAAAAACTCCATCTTTCAAAGCTATGCACACATTGAGACATGAATTATAAGCATAATACAGAGATAGATGGAAATACCCGATCAACCCATTGACGAGAAACGTCTGTGAATTCGAAAGCAGGGTCATTGAGAAGTTCAGATTTCAAAACAGAGTAGACCTCCAAGAATTTAGACCTTAAATCAGTCATTTTTTCCACACACAGACACACAAGCTCACAGAGAGAGAGAGAGAGAGAGAGAGAGAGAGAGAGAGAGAGGGTTTGGAATGAGAATACAAAAGGTGTGAGCTTGAGCTTTAAACGAGAATGTAGGAAAGAGGAGAGTCTTGTAATGCCAGCCGCAAGCTTTGAACACTATATAGGTATATAGCGTTGGGCAACCAGTCACATCTGGTGGGCTGTTTGATAACTAACTGAAATGTACATCCTAATATTTATCAGGAGAATTTAAAAGAACTTTTCTTTTAATGAATTGGCTTTACTCTAGGTGCATTTTTCATGTATAATATCCATTTTATAATAATTTGGTCTTATTCAAACTATTTATTAAGAAAAGCATACTTTTCAAAAGAATTCAGATTTTAAATAAAAAGAAATATATACTGCATGAAACTTAAAATATTTTAAAATTTAAAACAAATAGAAAGAAAGATACTAAAGTTCAAATTCGATAAGAATTTGTATAAATAAATCTAGCAGATCCACATAGTAGGGCTTTCCCCTAAAGTGCTTTTTGAGAACTCTCGGGATATGGTTGCGCAGTAGTATGCCATCATTCACAGCAATCATGCCAATCTAATATTAACAATAATGGAAATTAGAATGTTCAAAGCAATTAAAAAGAGAACTGTACAAGGAAAAGAATCACTCTTGGTAGAGGCTCACACCTTTGGTAGTCTGAACCAGCAGGGCTGACCCCTACGTGTATGAGAGCTATCCATGATATCATCAAGAACGAGAAAATATGCTTGAAGCTGCAAAAGTCAATGAAAAGAAGAGTCAAATTCCCATTGCAACTAATGCAGAGCAGAATTGCTGAGGTATGATAACCATTGTGATTGATACTAAATGAGAAGAGAAGGGGGAAAGAAAAATGGCAGGAGTTGCTATGTAGACATACCCATTCAATACACCAACCAAGTGCTGATGCATGAAAAATTTCATCATCCGTTAGCTCCCTTCCATCCTTAAGTAACTTTAGGCTGTCAATTACGGATAAACCTCGATTCAGCTTTCCTGCCATGATACAAGTTTGTGAGCAGAAGTTCTATCACAAAGAGCTCAAAGAAAAATAAAAAAAATGTAACATGTCTATACCCCCTGGCACATTGTAGTTCAGCATCTGCAACAAAAGGGACACAAACATTCAATTAGGACGTAGACTTGACTCAAGCTTTACTTAACCCAAGCAATGCAAATATCAGTATGAAATAAGAACTAAAGTGATTAAGAGCAACAGAAAATTTGAGAACAAACTTGTGCCACTGCGTAGTGTAAAGAAAAATACACACCTTGGACTTCAAACACACACACACACACACAAACAGAGATATGCATGTGAGGATCTACAAATGCTAATACGATTGCCCCTTCAGGATGGACAAATCATGCACAAAAGGAGATCTTGCCTATGGTTCAGACATGACTATGGTTGCTATATCTCATCTCACATGTAAGTCAACGTGACGAATCTACAAGGTACAGCGTGTCATGTTACACCTTAAAGAAAACCTGGAGCATCTCCCATTGTACCCTCTTCAATGTTTGGACTAAATGTCGACTCAGCACATCGATTCATTTTAACATTTGCATTAATATAATCTTTTGATAATTATGTATTACATCTTAATTGTATATTTGTCAATCTCTAATCAGAAGTAACTGGTATAACTTTTCTCCTCTTTTTAATTTTCCCTTTTTATTTTGGCGATTGGTATTCTCAATAAGATATAAGACTGCAAGGTTTCTTGCTCTGAATCTGAACTAAATCATGGTAATTGCGTGTCTTGAGTATTATGGGATCGGGTGTTTCATGTGGAACAAAAAAGCCAAACAAACAATGGCAGCAAGCAATGTTGTCTTACTCTGACCAAGAAGAAAAGCTTTCAAGCCACTCCCAATACCAACATTCTTATAAAATTTGAACTGAATCTCAACAAGCTATGTCTAACAAAAGTATCCCATCAAAGTTTTAAGCCAAAAAATAAATTTTGCCCGATTCAATTAATTTTCTTTCACCAAAGTGAAAGATTCCTTCCAAAACCCAAGTAACACCCTATTACATTAAAAAAAAACCAACAAAAAGGGAAATCTACAAAACTTAACTGAATGTAACAGAGCATTGAAAATATATAATAAAAAAAACTCCATCTTTCAAAGCTATGCACACATTGAGACATGAATTATAAGCATAATACAGAGATAGATGGAAATACCCGATCAACCCATTGACGAGAAACGTCTGTGAATTCGAAAGCAGGGTCATTGAGAAGTTCAGATTTCAAAACAGAGTAGACCTCCAAGAATTTAGACCTTAAATCAGTCATTTTTTCCACACACAGACACACAAGCTCACAGAGAGAGAGAGAGAGAGAGAGAGAGAGAGAGAGAGAGAGGGTTTGGAATGAGAATACAAAAGGTGTGAGCTTGAGCTTTAAACGAGAATGTAGGAAAGAGGAGAGTCTTGTAATGCCAGCCGCAAGCTTTGAACACTATATAGGTATATAGCGTTGGGCAACCAGTCACATCTGGTGGGCTGTTTGATAACTAACTGAAATGTACATCCTAATATTTATCAGGAGAATTTAAAAGAACTTTTCTTTTAATGAATTGGCTTTACTCTAGGTGCATTTTTCATGTATAATATCCATTTTATAATAATTTGGTCTTATTCAAACTATTTATTAAGAAAAGCATACTTTTCAAAAGAATTCAGATTTTAAATAAAAAGAAATATATACTGCATGAAACTTAAAATATTTTAAAATTTAAAACAAATAGAAAGAAAGATACTAAAGTTCAAATTCGATAAGAATTTGTATCTTTATTGAACTTTTCTCAATAAATCGCATCGCATAAAATAGACAAGAGATGAGATCTAAGAATCCTTTTATATAAAAAATTCCAAATGAAATCATATTTATTATGGTTACTAGTTTATTCCGCACATACTAATTGGTATTTTTCAACTTATAGTGTGATTAATTTCTGTTTAGTATTATTAATTTACTCTAATTATAGTGTTTTTAACTAAAGTATTTTCAATATTTTTTAAAAGGGTTCAGATATGTTATTTTGGACAAAAGGTCACTTATGTTTGTATTTTAAAAGAAACAAAAAAAGACAAATTAGGGGACAACATTGGTGGACTTAGCTTATGTTTCCCCATCTAAGTGAACTTTGGGTATCCCACCTTTATTGACATCTCACCAATCCATCGTACTTGTCAAAATTGGGGAGCCAGCTGCCAAGTCAACTCCCAAGCCATCTCTACAAAATCGGCGTCGTCATTAAACTCTGCCAACTGCTAGACACGTAGGTTAATTATAGGAATCTCTATATGAGGTGGCACTAGGGTTAGTTGTTAGGGAGATTCACTATTATACCCAATATAGGAGTCCAAATTATAAAAATACCCTATATGAAATGAAATGGACTTTAAAAACACACCCAAATCTCATTTGCAACATAACAAGAGGCTTTTAACTTCTTATAAATTATAAAACTACAATTTATTTCTTAAAACAAGCCCAACCCCAAAACCTCATAAAAAAACCTAAAACACTCAATAGGGTATCAAAGTAATTTAATAATTAAAATTAAATTAAATAGAGCCAGCTGTTATTTTTTGGATTTGTTTATAGAAATTAAATGGTATATGGTTTATTTATATTTTTTGTATTAAGAATGGGTATATGACTAAACATCTCTAATTGTTAACCATTTATGGAATTATTTTCTCGATACCATTGATAGAACCTACCTTCTACCTTAGGTCCCATTTGGTTCATGGGAAAGGAGACTTGGGGATGGGAAATCAATTACTTTTTCATATTTTGTAAGTCTATGCATGGGAAATCGTTGTCTGGCCCATGAGAAAGTAGAGGAAAAAGTGAAGCCATCCTTCCAACTTAAGTTTTGTTTTCACTCCTCTTGGGAAAATTTGGGAAAATAGGCCAATATTAAATAAACATTTTTCATGACCATTTTGTCCTCATTAACAATTTAGAATTATAGTATATCATTAAATGCATTTTTTTTTATTTGTTTTAATATGAGTATAATTGAAAATACACACAAACAGAGATATGCATGTGAGGATCTACAAATGCTAATACGATTGCCCCTTCAGGATGGACAAATCATGCACAAAAGGAGATCTTGCCTATGGTTCAGACATGACTATGGTTGCTATATCTCATCTCACATGTAAGTCAACGTGACGAATCTACAAGGTACAGCGTGTCATGTTACACCTTAAAGAAAACCTGGAGCATCTCCCATTGTACCCTCTTCAATGTTTGGACTAAATGTCGACTCAGCACATCGATTCATTTTAACATTTGCATTAATATAATCTTTTGATAATTATGTATTACATCTTAATTGTATATTTGTCAATCTCTAATCAGAAGTAACTGGTATAACTTTTCTCCTCTTTTTAATTTTCCCTTTTTATTTTGGCGATTGGTATTCTCAATAAGATATAAGACTGCAAGGTTTCTTGCTCTGAATCTGAACTAAATCATGGTAATTGCGTGTCTTGAGTATTATGGGATCGGGTGTTTCATGTGGAACAAAAAAGCCAAACAAACAATGGCAGCAAGCAATGTTGTCTTACTCTGACCAAGAAGAAAAGCTTTCAAGCCACTCCCAATACCAACATTCTTATAAAATTTGAACTGAATCTCAACAAGCTATGTCTAACAAAAGTATCCCATCAAAGTTTTAAGCCAAAAAATAAATTTTGCCCGATTCAATTAATTTTCTTTCACCAAAGTGAAAGATTCCTTCCAAAACCCAAGTAACACCCTATTACATTAAAAAAAAACCAACAAAAAGGGAAATCTACAAAACTTAACTGAATGTAACAGAGCATTGAAAATATATAATAAAAAAAACTCCATCTTTCAAAGCTATGCACACATTGAGACATGAATTATAAGCATAATACAGAGATAGATGGAAATACCCGATCAACCCATTGACGAGAAACGTCTGTGAATTCGAAAGCAGGGTCATTGAGAAGTTCAGATTTCAAAACAGAGTAGACCTCCAAGAATTTAGACCTTAAATCAGTCATTTTTTCCACACACAGACACACAAGCTCACAGAGAGAGAGAGAGAGAGAGAGAGAGAGAGAGAGAGAGAGGGTTTGGAATGAGAATACAAAAGGTGTGAGCTTGAGCTTTAAACGAGAATGTAGGAAAGAGGAGAGTCTTGTAATGCCAGCCGCAAGCTTTGAACACTATATAGGTATATAGCGTTGGGCAACCAGTCACATCTGGTGGGCTGTTTGATAACTAACTGAAATGTACATCCTAATATTTATCAGGAGAATTTAAAAGAACTTTTCTTTTAATGAATTGGCTTTACTCTAGGTGCATTTTTCATGTATAATATCCATTTTATAATAATTTGGTCTTATTCAAACTATTTATTAAGAAAAGCATACTTTTCAAAAGAATTCAGATTTTAAATAAAAAGAAATATATACTGCATGAAACTTAAAATATTTTAAAATTTAAAACAAATAGAAAGAAAGATACTAAAGTTCAAATTCGATAAGAATTTGTATCTTTATTGAACTTTTCTCAATAAATCGCATCGCATAAAATAGACAAGAGATGAGATCTAAGAATCCTTTTATATAAAAAATTCCAAATGAAATCATATTTATTATGGTTACTAGTTTATTCCGCACATACTAATTGGTATTTTTCAACTTATAGTGTGATTAATTTCTGTTTAGTATTATTAATTTACTCTAATTATAGTGTTTTTAACTAAAGTATTTTCAATATTTTTTAAAAGGGTTCAGATATGTTATTTTGGACAAAAGGTCACTTATGTTTGTATTTTAAAAGAAACAAAAAAAGACAAATTAGGGGACAACATTGGTGGACTTAGCTTATGTTTCCCCATCTAAGTGAACTTTGGGTATCCCACCTTTATTGACATCTCACCAATCCATCGTACTTGTCAAAATTGGGGAGCCAGCTGCCAAGTCAACTCCCAAGCCATCTCTACAAAATCGGCGTCGTCATTAAACTCTGCCAACTGCTAGACACGTAGGTTAATTATAGGAATCTCTATATGAGGTGGCACTAGGGTTAGTTGTTAGGGAGATTCACTATTATACCCAATATAGGAGTCCAAATTATAAAAATACCCTATATGAAATGAAATGGACTTTAAAAACACACCCAAATCTCATTTGCAACATAACAAGAGGCTTTTAACTTCTTATAAATTATAAAACTACAATTTATTTCTTAAAACAAGCCCAACCCCAAAACCTCATAAAAAAACCTAAAACACTCAATAGGGTATCAAAGTAATTTAATAATTAAAATTAAATTAAATAGAGCCAGCTGTTATTTTTTGGATTTGTTTATAGAAATTAAATGGTATATGGTTTATTTATATTTTTTGTATTAAGAATGGGTATATGACTAAACATCTCTAATTGTTAACCATTTATGGAATTATTTTCTCGATACCATTGATAGAACCTACCTTCTACCTTAGGTCCCATTTGGTTCATGGGAAAGGAGACTTGGGGATGGGAAATCAATTACTTTTTCATATTTTGTAAGTCTATGCATGGGAAATCGTTGTCTGGCCCATGAGAAAGTAGAGGAAAAAGTGAAGCCATCCTTCCAACTTAAGTTTTGTTTTCACTCCTCTTGGGAAAATTTGGGAAAATAGGCCAATATTAAATAAACATTTTTCATGACCATTTTGTCCTCATTAACAATTTAGAATTATAGTATATCATTAAATGCATTTTTTTTTATTTGTTTTAATATGAGTATAATTGAAAATTTATACAAACTTTGTTTTCCATTCCTACTCAAAACAAATATGGGAAGGAAAATAAAATGATATTTCCCGATTACTTTCCTAGCATTACCAAACGTGGGAAATGAATCTTCCATTTTCCATCCTTTGGAAAATGACATAGGAAATAATTTCTCCTCAAATTCGTTCCATGAACTCAATGTCTCAAACAACAATAATGATATTAATTCTTTCACAAAGAACAAGATACAATTTCTCAACTAACTTTCTCAAATACAGACTCACTTAGTTAATTAATATAGAGTTAACCTAACCAACTGTCAACTAACCATAACCTAACTAATGGTTAACAACTAACCCTAGTGCCAGCTCATATAGAGATTCCTATCAGTTTGCTTGATTTGCATGGGCTCAGTTTTTATAAAAGAGCCCGTTTGTCTCAACACGGAGGCCCGTTTCTGTTGTTTTGTCGAGGAATGGGTTGCATGGAGTCCGTTTGTTTTGGGCCTCTGTTTTTTTTATTTGACAAGAAAAGGGTTTTTTTTTATGGTCAAGTAAAAGAAAAAAAAGAAGTCTTTTTGGTGAATAAAAATCTCTTAAAACTCAGCGATAGTCTAAATTGCTTTGAATTAATCTAATCTGCAGGAAAGGTAATTCGAACTTAAAGCAGAGTCACTGCCTTGACCAACTGGCTTAATTTATTGGTCAGCATGGGACTTGGCCTTTACATGTTGATTCTACTTTTGTCTAAATTAGCTTTAAGGCTACATAATTTTGGATTTTATTTACTCATTTCTTTTGGAGAAATAATATGGGTAGGTAGCTTTGCATTTGGTTCAACTAGAGTGATTTGCATTTGCCAAGTCTATGACTAATCTGACTGAGATGGTACACAAGAATCAACATCCAGAATTTCCCACAGATTGAGCACAACTTTGCTTCATATTAATAATTCTTGCAGCTATTGCTTAAAGTAGATTTTCAGAACAGCCAACACATTGAATTACAAACAGAAAAGCATAGAGACTGTAGAAAAGTACCATATATTAAAGCTCAAACTTTTGAGATACATTACAAAGATTGATGCATTCTTTTCTTTAGTACATTTCTATGTACATGTATTCCACAGATCAATAAAAATTCAAAAAGAATGTGTTTTTGGTACATACTGCAGAAGAAAATAAATTCAAAGATACCGACATCATTCTCTCGCTGTTTGTATATTCAAATATTATAAACTTTGGTATAGTTTGGTTACTGGTGAGCTCCACTGTACAAGCAATAAACTCGCTCGAGTAACCATGTAAAAATCACACCAAAAGTATAAGAAAACAAAAAAGAAAAAAACAAAGCTCAGTCAATTTGATGTCTTGTTTCCTATCTCTGCAGTTCTTGCTTGCAAAGAGGACAACAAGATATGATCCTGAGCCACTGATCAACGCACTTGAGGTGAAACATATGCGAACATGGCAACTGCCTTACTTCTTCCGTGTCTTTATATTTAGCCAGGCAAATACAGCAATCCTGTAAACACAAGAAAAGGATTAAGAGACAAACTAATCAGCCTTATAGAGGAGAAACTGAGGTTCTCATGTGTGAAGAAACCCCAAGCAGGACACATACTATTTGCAAAGCAAGGCCAGATTTAGTTTTGTATGTATAACTATGACTTACTGGATCTTCATTTGCAAGGCATCCTGAATCACAATCATTTCCGAGCTCTACTTTGGTGTTAACTTCTTTATATCTCCAGCTGGGAAGCTGAGAAATTTGGTCATCAGATGCTGCTTTATCAATGGACCCCATGTTCATGTTGTATCCAAGCAGGCTGCTCATGAGGGGAACAAAGCAACATAGCAGCACAAACAGCAGGAAGGGAAAAGAGTAGCTGATGGCATTCCAAGCAAGCAGAGAGATGCAGAGCACATGGAGTTTTGGAGCTCCAGGAAACGAACTAAAGCGAGAATCGAAGACCCAAACATTACCCATTACAAACCATATTGCAAAGAATAGCTCAAGTGAGGTCCTACACCTGTTCATCAAATGTGTGGTCCTGTAAGTTACACCTTATATCAGAATTTGAGATGTGCAAGTTTCCATATATTTTACTCTACAAATATGTATCCAAATCTTTCATCACAACCATAATAACTAAAAGGAAGTAACGGAAGCCTAGAAAAAGTACCTGGATTCTTCAGTGCTTCTCTGCTGTTCCATGTCAGAGAGGTTGAAACCATCTCCTTGAGACAAATAAAGTAGCCTGTAACGCCCGAAGAGCACCAGCAAATTGAGAACACAACCAATATCATACCCAACAATCCAAATTCTCATAGGCCAAACCGGCCTCTCGTTCTTCGAAACAGCCAAAGTAATTGTGGTGATACTTATTTGAACAACCAAAGCAATAAATTCCAGCATCATCCAAGTGCTGGAATTGAAAGGGTTTGACCCAAGATCAGACCTTGAACCATTTTGGTAGTGGAATACTCTTCTTAAGAAGATGAACCATCTTGCTCTTGATATTCTCATAGCCATTCTCATTAAGAATGAAGAAGGGGGAGCTCTAGAGGACCTGGTCCTGATTACACTAACAGCCGTCCGATCATCTCCTGGAGAAGTTGATGAAAATGAAACCGCACTGCTAGCAGAGTTACACATGGGCTCTGATGGAAAAAGGTAACGGGTATTCATCGAGAATGATTCTACTGGCCGCTATATATATGGATTTAGAAAAGTGAACTGAAATTTGGAGACTAAAATGAAATATACGAGACTTGTATCATAAAAGTTGTGCTGGGAATTTTCACAAATATGTGGCTTGCAGTTGGCTTTGTGGAAGGAAGCGTTGTATTAGGATATTCATGCAACTTTCATGTTTTCTTCAGTAATTGTCATGCATGAGAGTTCAATGAAGCAAAAGGTGAAAAATACCATTTGGGTTGAGCATCCAAAAGCAGTGGATCTAGAAGCTTGTATCTCCAAGGCCTTAAAGCTTCAGGCTTCAGCTTGGAACTAACAACAGCAGCTCAAAACCCCAGGTGATCAGAAACTAAGAAAATCTCTCTCCTCTAAAACCAACTCTAAATATCCCAATCCAAATAAAGCTTACAGCTTTATGCTGACAAAACTCATTTAGGCACAAACTTCTTATGGATTCCTTGGATATATTACCTCAAATTGAATAACCCAGAAAATTAATGACCTTTCCATCAAAATTTTCAAAAACCCACAAACCCAAACACTTTCAAGACCTCAATCTCTCACCCCAAAAGCACAAAACATGCAGAAGAGGTCAAAAGCTTTGTTGGGTATCAAAGGATGGACCTCAACATGAACAGAATGAAAGAAACTGAAGTCTATAAAAGGGGGAATTGAGTAACAGGAGCAGCCAGCAGATGGGTGTGAAGAGCATGTCAGAAAGGTGAAGTTGGGTCTTCAGATGGTGACCAAAAATC